TTTTTTTATTTAATCAATAACAAATTATTCTAATTAAATTTAAAAACCTATAAAAAAATTTACTTACTAAGTTACTCCACCTCTCTTATTTATATATTAAAATGTCACTTACGCTCCATTTCTTATTCTGTTGACAAGCGAATAGCAATCCCCCCAATGGAGCATAACATTTTGGTGTGGTGCTTCTAATCCATGTCATAGATTTTTTGGGACATGTAGGTCTCTTTTTTTTCTTCTTTTTTTTTCTCCTTTTCCTTTGATAGGTATAAGTCGTAAACTTTCATTTTTATTTGGACAAAATGAGACACTCATGGTCCATTAGTCTGGTACCTGTGTATATCACATCAACAGACCTGACTTCTCAAGTCGAACCCAGAAAACAAATTTGGGTGAACAGTCTAGCTGGTGAATTAGGATATATGCCATTTCAGGTTTGAATTGGAAAATAAAAATGTTTTGATCAGCTTTGAACCAGTTTCAGTTAGAGGGAGTGCTGTGAGTTTTTCCTGTTTTCCTGGCAGCATAATTACTAAAAATTAAATTTTATTAGACTCTTTTGGCCCATGACATATCATATTTCATTATTTACAAAGGTAACTTAAAAATCCCGATGGATGGCGTTTCTGTGGCCTGCAAAATTCAAACTGACAATTATGAAACAGATGGGTCCTGAGCTTGACTCAAGTTGAGCCTAACTGAAGTCAAGTTTAAGGCTAATTGAGTCAAACTTAATCTAGTTTCAAAATGATTCAGAACTTTAGAAAATTGGAGAGGCAATCTTGGATTTAAGATTACAAAATATAACATTTTCCTTGATTTTCAAGGCCTGAATTTTCTTATGCCACAAACAAAGGTAGAGTGCTTCTCTTATTGAAACAAGACTCCTTAAACAAATGGGCAAAGACTGAACCCCAAGTGGTGCAATTCTGATTTGCTCTATTATAAATGTCTCAAACTAGAGATTGCAAAAAAACAAGATAATATAATTTTCCATTGCATTTTAGTACTTGTAATTCATCAATTTCCTTGTTTTTTCCCCCATAATTTTCACTATCTTCTATGCTTGTCTTTAATTGATTACAGGGTTAATGGAGCAGAATCTATATCATTCTGGTGAACAAACTTGTAAGAATTGCGAGAGGGTCCTTGCAGTTGCTTTGCTTATGGTAGTCTGCAACATTTGGTTGCTGTGCCAAATCATAAGCTTTAACAATGAACAAGAGAGTCAATACGGCAAAAAGGCTCAGGATTAATCTGCAATATCTAGGACTGTAATTTTCAGGTGCAAGGGGTATGTCAGCATCAGAGAAGATGGAGGTGTAGGAGATGATGAGATAGATGTGGCGGATCTGGAGGAACAAATGGAGGTGCTAATAAGGCAGAGGAAGAGTGGAGAAGAAAAATTTGAAGAGAGAGATGTTGAAGGTATGCCACTGGCTAGGACTGAAGAGGGTGGGAGGGTAAGTTTCATTGTTGAAGAAAGAAGAAACTCTTCAACAGGTAAGGAGGAAACGGCATTACTTACTGATGAAACAGAAGTTACCGAAGGGAATGGGCAGGGTGACATTGCCTACAGTGTTAATGCATTTCATGACAACATGGGATTCCTCCTGACGGATTATTTTATGGGAACCCTACTCTGTATGAATCTGAATAAGCTGATAGGGAAGAACTGAAGCCTCATGTTGAGGAATGAAGAGAGATGACGGTATCTAACAAAGAGTTAACAGGAAGGATCACCTGGGCTAGTGATTGATTGAATTCAGGAAAAAGGATGCATTGTCTTTTTGATCTTCTTATATAACTTGGGTGAGAGGAAGCATCAAACCTTCAAATAATGTAATTATCACCAGCATTTCCCCCTATAACAAACCTTGTATTATTCCTGCCTTTAACAACATAAATCAAATTGTCATTATAACAATTTGAAAATTTTAAAAGAGAGAGAGAGAGAGAAGAAATGATATGTGCAGTAATGATCAGTAAAACAAATGGATATGTACAATCTATGGCAGCGTCTAGTCAAGACTTGCTCCGGATTCCATTGCATGTTAATCAATCTCTCTTAATCAACTGAAGATGCTCCCTGACAGTTTAGAAGAGTTCAGAATTTAAGCTGCTAAAATTTTTAACTGCTATTGACTGGTGAACTAAGTTGAAGAGCCTCAGACATTGTCGAACATTTGCAATATTTTCTCTCCAGTTGAACACAGCTGCAAGTACTACACATCATCCTCTATTTCATCTGGTACAATTAACTTTTCAATGGCAACCTGTCCAAACTCCAAAGATGATAACCAGTTAAACTTGGTAGAAATGAATATTACACGAGTTTGAATTCAGTAAAAATGTCACATGAATAAGTTATCATGCCAACTGATACCATTAGTGGTTTTTTTTTTTTTTTTTTTTTTCTGACAGAACATACAAAGAAAGTAGTTTTGCGACTGTTCCTTCAGAAATGTCCTTGTCTTGTACCTTGCTCGCCAATGACTACACTCTTTAGCTCAAGCATATTTAAATGGCCATAACACTAAAAGAATAGTAAATTTATGGTAATATTCAGATCACAAAATAAAGTAAGAATGTCGAAACCAAGAAAACCATTTTAACAGTTCCGCATCAAAAGAAAAAAAAAAAAAGAAAATGACTATGAGGTCTCCATTTTTCTTTTTTCTTTTTTTTGGGAAATTAGCTAACGTTGCTAAACTTTTCACCACGAATTAGGGTTCAATAGTTTAGGAGCATGTCTGTGGATATATAAGGAATAACAACCATCAGCAATAAAAAAAGAAACAGATAAAATTGGAAAGTTAATACACAATGCTAGCACCTCAAAAGAGAAAATGAGCAACTATGTTGTAAAAAAGTGCACGTCACCATTAAAAAAGTGGATGAAGGGAAAAAACATACCTTTAGTTTTGCAACATCAGATGCAGAAGGTTTTAAATCCAAAGCAGTTCCAAAATGGAGCATGGCCTTGTCATACATTTGACATCGTTTATAAATTTCACCCATCAATGCATGGATGCAACTTTCTTGGGGAGCAAGCTCTTTGAGGTCCTCCAAAACTTCCAAAGCTTCATTGAAGTTTCCAAGGGTCACCAATATACTTGCTTTGTGGTACATGGGTAGAGGATTTTTCTTATCTGTGGTAATTGCTTTATCCATCATCACCAGAGCTTCCTCACTTCTCTACAAAACAAGTGAAAGAAAGCACAGTTTAACACAAGAACTTTGGTTTGGTGCATATATCTTCTACATATATAGAATATATGTCCTCATAAAGATAATTACAAGTTTAGGTCAAGTTATATAGGTAAGTAATCCACTGTCAGGTAAAGGTCAAAATAAGCACATTATTCCTTGTTTGATTAATCAAGCCATATGTAACTGTACTTCAAAGATACTGTAACCTGATGTGGAACAGTAGAATGTTAACTGCTAGGTGACCTTACCTTTAATGCTTCTAAGGCAAGTCCAAGATAACACATGATAACTGAAGAATGAGGATTTATCTTGAAAGCCTGTCGAAAATGGTGCTCAGCAAATTCAAATTTTTCTTGACGAAGATAGATCATTCCAAGACCATACCAGGAGATATAATGTCTCATATCGAATCTAAGGGCACTCTGATAGCACTTCTCTGCATTTTCATAATCCTCCAATGCTGCATACCTGTAAACAAAGACATGGTGATGACATCCCCTTTTCTTTTCTCACATATTTGGTCCAAAAAGATGGAAAAAGTAATGCAGATAAGTTTAAAGAATATAATTTTAAGTGTCAAATCGTACTCATGACCACAAAGGGTGTGAGCATATGCAAATCTTGAATTCAGTTGCACAGCTCGACAGAAATTTTTTGCAGCAGTTTCATGGTTCTTTTGCAAGCTGTAGCAGTTTCCAATAGCACACCTGAGTGGGCATTCCACGAGAAAGAGTGACAATAAGTCATCGTACAAAAAAAAAGAAAAAGAAAAAGATGTAGCCTAATCTAGAAAATGATATGAATCCACTTGAAAGTTTTCTTTATAGCATAAAGCAAGAAAGTTATTGATCTTGTTTTTCAGCAGTGCCACCAACCAACCCCCCCACCCTCAAATTAAAAACTACAAAAAGAGCTGTTGCCAATTGCTTAGCAAAATGTAGATCACACCATGACTATGAAAATATTGGATAACTGAAGATAAGGTTGTTCAAAAGAGTTAAGCTAGAAAACAAGAAGAATTACTTTCCAAAACAAGATAGAGATGACTATCTTTTTTCAAAATGAGGATTACTAAAACAGTTTAATAACTTGATTAATGCTCCCTGCCCACCAAGAGTCTAAGACCCTTCTTGAATAAATAAGGAATGATATAAATTGCACACATCATCTTATACAAGAGCAGCAACATTTATATCATAACAAGGATTCAAAAGTAAAAGTGCAGAATTCATACCATAGAGTCACTTACAATTTTAGTTAATAATATGAACTCAAAATAAAAGGCAAAACATAAATAGATTTGATTAGAAAAGTTTGACTAATTGGAATTGATGAAACAAAAAAGACAAGAAGTACCAGGACTGTGGTGCTAATCGATCAATTGACATCAACTTCTGAGCTAGAAAGCACAGTTTCACATCTTCTTTCAAATGCTGCAATTTAGAGAGAATGAGATACAACTTGAAGGAAGATCAACTAAACAATTTCATTCACATAAGAAATAGTTATTGAATATTTGAAATTAATATATTTGAAGATCTTCAGTCCATTTTCTGGTGTTAGTGCAAACAAAAGTTTTGGATTCTTAGAAAATACCCTTCAGCACTAAACTCTTCTTTTGCGAAGCTACTTCAGAGTCATCCATAAAATTTCTGGCACTAGCATGTAGCAGAAAGCATAGGATAATGTTTCAAGTAAACCAGTTAAGGAAGATGGTTAACGTTTATGATTCTATGAAAACCTAAGAAACTTAAACAAAACGTTTCAGCATCATCTAATGATCCTCCCCAAAAGAGTTCATGCCTTAGCATAAAAGAAAACAAGTAAAAGGTTTCTTAACCCTAGGGCAACAGCTTAATGGTGATTTGATCTGATTGACTTCAGTATAAAGTTTCAAAAGTAAGCCCTTGGCATTCATAACTGGTATTTTGTTTGAAGCTTACTTTGTGATTGAGAGTCCAATTCCACCCATCTATGATGATATGGACCTCCATCTGATAAGTGATAAACCAATACAATATGTGAAATACATAAAGGAGAAATCCTGAATGGGTGAACTTTAGAAGGAAGAACTTCAGAGCTTATCATTTATCATAATGTCTTTGGACATTAATTTGGGTACCAACTTTTGCTACAAAGGCACAATGAAATGTTGAAAGCTAACCTCTTCTACATTTATTTGCAAAAGACTTTTCCCGATTAGGATTAAAAGTCCAAATGATTTTCTATTGTGCACAAGGAAAGACTTTGGTTCATAAGAAATCACTTTCTTATAGTGCACATGTGGAACCAAATTTTAAGTTCTAATACGATCTAGTCATGTCTTGAATTATTTTCTCATTGGCTCCGAAACAAGCATAGAGAAACAGGGAGAGCATTCTTACCTTGGATCTTGATGTGTTGGTTCACTTTTGCTCCAGTGGCATGACTAGATTACTACATGAGCTTTAACCATCCTATCTGCTCAAAGGAGATGGAAGAATAATCAACTAGATGTCAAGTCAAAATTCTTAAATGGATACCTTGAAGAAGAGCAACCACAAGGATTCAATAGTTAATGAAAAGAAGACAAGACTTATGATTGAAAAAGGCCACATATGGATTAAAGCAAGCACCCCAAGCTCCATATTCATCAAGACCCAAGGTAATGGCATTCTCATTGTTTCTCTAAAAGTAGATATAATCTTTCCCTATGCCAGAGGAACTGAAGATTCAAGAATTCAGGAAAGACATGATGAAGTCAATTTAGATGAGTGACATGTGTCCAATGCAATATTTTGATAAAGACCAGAGGAAGAAGGAACATTCATATTGTAGAAGAATACACTGATACACTATTGATAGACTCCAAGATGGACAACTGCAAGTATGTAGCCACTCCTCTGAAAGCAAACAAGAAAGTTTGAAAAATGACTGAGGTGGATCAGCAGGTCCTCTCAGTTCAGAAGTCCTATGTGAAGTTTGCTTTGCCTCACAACTAATGCATGCCCCAACTTTTCTATCAAGTTTCATGAGAAGTCTTAGCCAAATAACCATGGAGCAGCTACAAGATAAAAGATACAAGGTATTTGGCATTGACACAAACAACAAAACCACACCCTACTTAAAACTGTTTGTATTATCTCCCTAATGATTCTCACTGCCAGGCACTATTCTGCGCTATACCACATAAGACCAATACATAAAATTCACCTATAAACCCAGATTGCTTTCTACAAAGCCATAGGCCTTGAAACCACTATCTAAAAATGCTACTTTCTTCAGATTATACAACTAATCTATCTTACATCAATATATCCCTCAATCCATGATCACCAAAAACTCTAAATCATGGTTCCTTAGGCTAACTCAGTCAAACAGAACAAGTTACTGTATCTTATTGTAATTAAAGAATACTGATTTCTGACTTAAGCAACGCTTTAGAACACGGTTCACTAGCATAAAGGTTAAATTTAATGAGGACATGTAATAGACCTATAGTGAAACAAGCTCAACAAGATGGCCACAATTAAAGATTCCTAAAACTTGTTCAAAATTCAAATACACAAGCCATCTATTGACAAACTGATGGGGAACAAGAAAAGTGGGAAAATCACACATGAATGACTGAAGGGAAAATCTGTAGATTTAAAAAATAAAATGATAGCCAATTGGTTTTAGTTTGGATTTTTACATGATATTAAAACCCAGGCGCAATTGTGTGTGCAACCCAAGTTGGTTGTTGCAAGCCTGGTTGGTGTGCAAACTAGGGGACGGCATTGTGAGCTCACAAGCCCAACATGTGTGCACAACCTAGCAGGATTGCCGTGAGTGTGCAATCTAGGAGAGGTCACTGCAAATCCTGATGTGCAACACAAGGTGAGGTGGACTGTGGTTGTTTCCACAGGACATGCGTGAAGGTGGTTGTTGTAAGCTTGGTTAGCGCACAACCCAAAGCAGGTTGTTATGAGCCCAGGCCGTGTGCGCAACCTGACATAGTTGTTGCAAGTGAGCAATTGTTAAAGCCCTCATGTGCAACCCAAGGAGAGGTTGACAGTGGCTTTACGGGCTGTGGTCATTTTCACAATGGACCTGCTTGTGAAAGGGTGTCTTAAGTGGGAAAATCCCACAGCGAGTTAATGGGAAACTTATTGACTTAAATAAAATGTGAACTACTCCACCCATTGCCAATTGGTTTTAAATTGGATGTCTACAAGAACCAATGAAAGAGTTATTTACAGTATTTAGGCTTTACTATTATGATTAAACCTCAAGTTTTATTTAAAGTTATTAGTTTTCCCAGTTTTATTAGGATTAGATCTTTTATTAAGAGTTGGTTTTGGAATTCCAAGTTCTAGTCTAACTACAAAATGCTTGTAATGCTTTTAACAGTCAATAAATAAGGTTTCCAAACATTTCCAGTATGAGTATTCTCTTGAGATTTTGTAAAGCAAATGTGATTTTTCCTAAGGATACCTTGTGTAAATCCTAGGAATATCTACAGAAACCTATGTGTGACTCCTAGGGTTCTTCTATCTTTCTCAATCTATCCTCTTTTCTCTAGCCCTTTTCACCCTTTTTTAGCCTAAAATCAGCCCCTTAATCCCTAAAACCACCATAGCCAAACCTGTCCTGCATTACAACCTAAATACTATAGTACCACTGATTTCTTAAAAAAATGGAACAGTTTTTTAGAGGCAAGGATGGCACTAGCAGCAGAATTTCAAACAACAACATTAAGGAAAGGAAAGAATTACTAACGTATAGGACTGTTGAATACATATCCATCCCTTCCAAATTGTAAGGAGATATTTGATGTGCATGACTAAATGCATAATCAGCCTTCAAATAATCCACAAGATGAAAATATGCTTTTCCAACCTGCAAGATGCAAAGCTTCATTTTCTATACATATAGAAATTATTTCAAATTACACAATCTAAATTCTCAGCTCAAACTTGTAGTTTCATTCCAAATCTTTTGACGCTAAAAAAAACACTACGATAATTAATGTTTTAAGCACTTCCAAGACAAAAACCAAATTCTTAAGTAAAAAGCAAATAATAGTGGAAGCAGAAATAGAAACATCCTTTCCTTTTATTTTTTGTTTTTTAAGGCTATTGAATTTAGTTCTCTAAAACTCAAAGCAAAAAAGATATTAGTATCTGGCCCCTAAGAATCAGAAAAAGCTTTTATAAAGGAAATCAACATGGTCAGCACAATAAAATTTTATTCATTACATACTTTCAAAATGTCTTATGAAGAAATAAATTATGGAATCAGAAAACAGATTAGCATTAACTATAATTTTCAGCTACCTGGGAGAGGACCCAAGCAGTATTGTACTGCTTTAGTGAGAGCATTTGAAACACATCCAATGCATCCTACAAAATCAAAAACATATGCATTTTCTTTTTTATTTTTAGTCTGGAAAATTTCATGCCTTCAATTGCATCATTTAGGATATCAGAAGAATTATTCTCAATTGACTTTTTTTTTAACAGCAAAACATTTGCGATTGACCTTAATATTTATTTAATATAAGCTATACCTGACATCTATATGTACATAAAAGCTTATAGCCGTCCCCAAGAAGTCTCAACAGGCTCATTACATCTAAGATTCCAGATATGACTGTTGAACTATCAGTAATAAGGCTTGATGGTTTCATGATTGCCATCTCACACTGACTGCATTTACCATCCGATAACACAGATGTGCTTGAAGAAATCGGTCTGCATTCTGAACTCGCAGCAGCATGATTTTCCAGCCATTTCCCCACTGATAGCATGAAAATGAGACTTCAAACTTCAGCAACATGTAAACTTAAATAATTAGAACTGAAAATACAAAACCTAGAGGCTATTAATCTAGCACAAGTTGGGGAGAACCAGGGCCTAATACGAGTATCCATTGGTCATATTTAACCTTATCAAGGATTAGAATTTGGAGCAAGGCTTAGAGGCATAACAATCATCACTAGTCCCAGCCTTAGTTTTTTACCAGATTGTATAAATCTTTTCTTATTTTATCTAAACAGCTACGGCTGATACTCATACAGTCTTGATAAAAAACAAAACCAAAAGAAAGAAAAGGAAAGCTGCTTAGAATTAGATCCCCCAGACAGACCAAAGTTTTCTCTTGTCCTTGGCATTTCTTGTGAAGAGAATGGCACAGTGTGATTCTAGCATATCCATATAAATTGAAAGGAACAAAAGCTAATGAAACACTAAAACAGATTGGACTTGTAATCTGCACTGTTTTGATGTCTTTAAGTTCATTATGCACAACTAAGAGACCAAAGAAAGCCATTGCCATGCACTTTGAGCTCAACTATTTATTGATGTGGAACTTGACATTAATTACATGAGCTACTTCACAGATTAAAGGCAGAGGATAGGCAAAGTATATTATCACCTTCTTCAACATTGTCAGGCTGACATTTGCAAACTGTTGAGGAATGAATCCTGGAGTTTGATTTTGATGGCAACATGCAAATACGGTTTGTTCCATCTCCTGTCTCTTGTGTGGTATTCAAATTTCTCCGTTCAGCTAGTCGTGCACTTCGGCGAGGCCTTGAATCAGAGAATAAAGTTCCAGGAACCTTCACAACAGAAGAAAGAAAGCATTTCAGAATAAGTTGATTTAAGAAAAGGGTATTATTCATCTCAGCATTTCAACTTAATAATGCAAACAAAACCACAAAAATGGGGGAGATAAACAAAGCAAACAGAAGATAAAACCAAACAGATGAACTGATGAAGAAAGCTAGATGAAAACCAAAAGTTATATCTGAATATGAAAAGAAAGGAAATTGCTGGTGAGTGCAGTGGATACAGTGGGGCATATGACCAAAGAAAAATGGAAAGTGTTAGCCATCCAAGATACCAAATTGCATTCCTATACATTCTTATTGTCTCTGTTTCAAGTAAGTAACCAAATTTTCCAACACATGAATATATTCAAAACAAGCAATATTCTGTATGCGAACAATACCATAATAATTTAGAGAGAGACCTAAAGTTGCATGCTAGAAGACAAAAAAATGTTTTGAATCAAGTAGCTACACAAAATCATGTAGGAGAAGAAGAATGTGGCCTTGTTTTCTTTTCCCTTCCCTTCTCAAAAAGATTTGATGCAAAAATTGCTCCTTTTTTGGAATAATTTTTCTAGGACTTCTCTATCAAAATAATTTAATGTGAAAGAAGCAGTAATACTATTTATTAGATGAATTGAAAAGGCTTCTGAGATTTATTACTTGTTGACATTAATGGGTAACTTCTATTTTGATGCCCAAGAAATTGCTTCATTAGTTTCTTTTAGTATGCACTTTTAATAGATAATTCATTTGACCAGCAGGCCAATTTTGCCATGGATAACTGAGATTAGGTGTAGTTTATCTGTAATCAAGGGTAGGAAGTGGCTCTAACTTTAGCATAAGTAGTGTTTGAAATCATAATTAAATTCAATATTCATGATCCTATAATCAGGGGAAAAAAAAAAAAAAAACTAATGATACATGTAGGAAGAGCCAAGTGACTACCTTCAGTCAAAGAATCTAACATGTCAAACATTTTGAATGAGAAAACCAGAGCCCAGCAGCTTTGCAGGCTATCTTACTGAAGCTAAATGATTTTAATAAATTTCCACCATTGTCAACAATGTTAATGCATGCCATGAAAGCTAAGGTAAAAAATAAATAAATAAATAATAAAATAAAACCTTACACAAAAATGCAAACACAACCTTCATTAACTCTTCATGAATAATTTTCCTTTGGGGAGCATGAGTCAGAGATCTTAGGGAGTCTTCACCTCCTGGAACATTTCTATTTGGAGCTGGTGGAGCAGTATCTGGCAGCTGAAGAATATAAGCTTCAGTCACATCAACCATCAGGAAAACACATCAAGCAGTATATTCTCTGTACTCTCCTTCCTTTAAGAATAAAACCTCTCACAAGGGTGATGAAACAGAATCCATGACTCATAAAAGAAGTATGATGGTTTCCAAGTTGATTCCTTAGAAAACATAGGATACAGAAAAATAATCCAATCATATTTAAATAATGGACCAACTGTGTTATTTATCTGTTCCAATGATGAAAACATTAAGATATAACCCACATTTTTAAATCAACAACTAGGACCATTGGTGTTTCCATAACATGTTAAAGTTCCTATATAATCTACTTTATTATAACTTCAAACTAAAATAAGACAGTGCCTCTACAACTATCCAGTTTGAAAAAAATGTTGTAGCTCACATTTTGGTATGACTTAAGTACAGCAAATAAAATTACCAATTCGATAATTTGTAAAGTGCAAGCAAAAAAGTAATTTTGAGTATCCTCCCACTAGTTAATGAATATCTTCTTCCAGTTAACTTTTTCCTTCAGTTTTGATATGATTACAGCTAACACTTTAGAGCTGTTGGTGCATAATGTATGACATACAGAGGAGTATGCATAATGACTAAAATTAAGGTTAGATCAAAATTTTCAGTTCTGTGACAACTTAGAAAATGGATCTAAAAAGAACCCTTGAGATTTGTTAAATGGAACTCAACGAGTAGGATACCTATTAAGTTGATTATCCAAGAACTGAGGTTACTGCTTCTCAAATAATATCATAAAAGAGGCACCATATACAAAATGACTAGATAGGTGGACATATATATAAACAAAATGCTTGATGTCAACAAAATTTAAAATTTTCCTCTAGTTACGTAGAAATAGCTTACTTGTGCTGGCAGTGGTGAAGGAGTGTTGTAAAGTGATACATTAGGAGGAAAACCATGTATAACATGCCCAGCAAATCCTACAAAATATGTGCTTCTGGGTGATTTTGACATAGATCTTTGAGATCATTCTGCCACATGTTTTTCAAGAGAAACTTTTATATTCAAGGACTAAAGTCATACCAGAACTAGAACTTTGATCTTCATTGGCTGTTTTCAAGTAACTTGATCCATTACCATTACATTGAAAATACTTTAGAACACCAGGAACAGCCGCTTCTCCAAAGATAGAAGTAGCTTCTTCTGCCTCACCTGAAAATAATATATCCTAGATTTGACAACAATTTCCTTGGGTGATTATGCATCTAGCCAAAGCTTGGAATTTTCTAACATTAACTATAACACCATGCAAGCTTTGCTAAAACACTAAATTTGCACAGCAAAATGCAAAAGTGACAGAGAGAAAAGTAGTCACAAAAATGAAAGAATATTGAGAAACAAATATAATACTGCCCAACAGACAACACAGTCCAGTGGTCCAGCATTTAAATAAAATAAAAATAAAAAAACAAAAACATCACATTGAATGCTTTACATGAGTAAGTTCATATTTCCATGTATGTATAACACCTTAAAAGATAAATCAATCAAGGAGCAAAATACAAAAGAAAAATAAATATAAGCATATATATAACCTAACATTTAAGATTTCCCCACCCAAAGATGTTCAAATATATAATTTATCAAGCAATTGATGGTCTGAAATTAGAATCCAATTTCCGTAAAAACATTCTCTTAAAAGTTTGTTATGTAACTAGTGGCTACAGTTCAATTCAAGTAAATATTGATTCTAGATTAGTTTTGGTCAGATACACAGAACAATACTATAGTCACACTATACGTAAGTTGCTTGGAAAAAAATTTTCTCTGATTTCACTACGAAATCTTTGCCCTTCTCTTCATGCTTTATTTCTTTTCAAACATTCTTTGGTAGGAGATGGAAAAGGTATTGAGCAATGTTCTCTTTGTTACAAGCAAAAATTAGGGGGAGTCAGAATCACAGTAATTTGCCAATAACGTCAAAGTTCAAACAAAGCACAGTTTTTGCAGTTTTATGAGCGAGCTTATTGCGAGAATGTGTTTGTACTGACCTAATAAACAGAGTTCCTCATATGCTGCCCACAGCAGTGGATCAATGGACAAAGCCTTCCTAAAATGTTCAACTGCATGTTTCCGCCTATCAGTGTACCTGGAATGGAATAGAAGGGCTCATGATAATTTGATAAATTAATTTTACTGATCAAAGACATGAGAGAAGGGAGAGAAAGAGAAAAAGAAAGAAGTAATATACATGGCTAGAATGTTATCTCCCATGCTTAAAAGAGAAACTACAGCACAGAATTCTTCCAACATTCACTGTGGTAATAAATAATTTCTTTCTTCTTAGCTTGATTTGAAGCTCACTTAATCTTAGTTATATATTACAGAATCATCTAATATCAACTCCAACCATGTATATGAGCACAAATTTTGTAGTCCATGGGCAAGCTTATAATCCTAGAAAATAAGCAGGTATATCCAGTATTGAAGCCAAAATTCCAAACTATGGTGATATAAAGCACAAAAAAAGTACTAGGAACCTATAAATAAGCCCGAGAAGATAATGAATTGCTGCACCATTGGGAATCTGTGTGAAGAAACAATAACAATGAGCATGATCTTAATAAAAGAACAAAAAAAAAAAAAAAAGTTCAGAAAGATTACAATAACATCCAACAAGAGTAAAACCAGCATTCTTGATACGACCATTCAACTTTTAAGGCATAGCCTAATAAGAGTCTTGGGAAAGACTGCTAAAACTCCATACCTCTGCACTATGCTCTTCAATAGGCAGCAATGCAGCTTCAGCTTCACCAAGAAGATCCATCTCAAAGCATGCAATTGCAAACAAGTAGCGAGACTCAACGCTTTGCTTATCTTCAAACGATAGAACAAAATATGAGCAAGAATTCTGGATCCAGAGAATGAAAATTAAAGCAGTTTATAAAGTTAGCATGCTATCAGAATCATTTAAATACATATCATCATTTCAAGCTATCAAGCAATTAGGAGCATCAAGAACAATGGGTTAAGTACCTTTTAGAATGTGATACGCACAATAAGCCTGATTGTTGTTCAAATAACATCTAGCCAGTAGTTGAAAGTTCTCCTACATTATTAAGAATCATTAGACTCAACCAAGATCAAACAAATATAAATATTGTACGTTCACTAGCTACACGATGAATGATAAACAAAGAGAAGCATATATAATGTTGCCAAAGCAAGACAAGCATAAATAGAACCAAACAAGTTCAAATGCAACTTCAATCAACTTTACGCAATTGCCACTATTATTAGCTCCAAGGGCTTGACATAGCACAGGTATTATTTGCTCGAAATTTGAGTTTTCATGACAGTCCACTTCAATGAAATTTCTGAGATCACACATCTAGGTGCTCGGAAACTGTATAAAACATTGCTTCTGTAAACCAACTCTAAAATCAATCAAAATTCCCATGCATACTAGGAAATTCAATCAAAATATTCCACAAGGATTTCTATCTTCAACCTCATATCAAGATCTAATAAATATCAATTCAGGATTAAAACTAACAAAATGAAAATCGAAAAGCTGAAGCTCATGAACGAATTCTACAACACGAATCGATCAAACTCGATCATCGAAAGGATAAGTCAGGATCGAAATTAATAGATAAAGAGAAATCAGAGGAATTTGAGCAGATGAGAAGAGAACCTCAGAGGGGAACTCAGCGCAGAGGCGTTCGCCGAGGAAAATGGCGTTTCTGTGCAGCATTTGATTCAGACTTCTCTCTACAGAATTAACGAGTACCGCCTCCATTGGAGTTCTCAAAATCGGAGAGACTTTAGAAATTATGTTTGGTATTTATACGATTGGGGTTTTATGGCTCCGAATCTTCCCAAGGAAGAAGCGGCAACTGGAAAGGGCGGGCCGATTCAGCTTTTAAAAGAGGAAAAATCTTATTATACCCCTACATTTTGATTTTATTTTCACTTACATACCTAATCTTTTTTCTTGGCAATTAGTCCCAAACTCAATTTTCAATTGGGTCCTTTCAGTAATAGGGATGGCAATGGGGCAGGGTGGGATAGGGTGGGGCGGGGCAAGGGTAGGGAAGGGGAGAATCATCCCATCCTCTTCCCTCCAATCCCAGGATGGGTATCCCCACAGGAAAATTCATAGGGGTTGGCACATTTTGTCATCCTTATTTTAATTCATTTCAATAATTATTCATTTAAAACTTTTTAGCCATTTAACTCCTTTTTTTACTAGCATATTGTCCCCATACTTAGTAGAGGGCATAGTTGTTATTAAATGAGATTATAAATTTATAATTAATTGGAGTAGTTACTTGGAACTTACTTTTCAACACACATTTCTATTTTGCCCCCTCACTTTTAAGGGAGTTTGGTTTCATTTAATATGCAAAAAGTTGCTTGCTTCCTTTATCTCAAACTACCTGTTACTACAACTAATTTGCACGTAATTTTAAATAATGTTTTTATAAAGTATATGAATGATAATTGAAAATAATTATTGATCAAAAGAAAAAGAACTACATATTGAAATAAGAAATTTTACAATTGTCAATTCGTATGTTATGTAAAAAACATTATCTAGAGTTATGTGCAAGTTAGTTATGATAATAAACAATTTGAGATAGAATAACTAACAAAAAAAAAAAAAAAATTACACTATGATAAGTTAAGTATGAAGAGTTGTGTTTGGGTTAAGGTTTCAAATTTATAGTTTCAAAACCCTCAATGAAAGTCAAATTATGATATTTAGGTATGAGCTTATGAGAAGTAGGGAAGAAAGAGGCAAATGAAAGGGAAAATGATTTGAGATTGGGATGAGACGAAGTCTGAGAGAGAAGGAGAAATGAGAGCTAGATAAGTGAGAAAGAACTGATAAAAGAATAACTGAGTTTTTCTTTAGTCCTCCTTGTTATGAGTTTTGTTATAGTTCATTTTGGATCTTTAATAGAGGTTTTGTTCAATTTTAGTCCTGGTGTCTCAGTTTTGAGTTGGTCAAAAGGGTGTGCAGTTTAGGGGTATTACAAGCCCAAGGGTAATAAACTCAATAGTAATAATCCTATCAGGTTCATTTGCCAAAAGTACTTATAAATAAAAGGTGATTATATCTTCTTTGGACAATTTCTGAGAGACTTGTCCTTGTGCACTTCACCATCTCGATTTAGAGAGAGATAATAATCTGTGCTGTTTTTGGGATGTTCCTTTTTTTTGAATGTAAGACTTGGGCTTGTGGATAGTCTATCTCCATCTTTCTTTGGTTAATGTAATTGCTCATTGATGGTAATGATATTTGCTTCTATAATTTTCTCTCCCCTTCATATGCTAGGAAAGGTTCACAATTTTAACAACACATCTAGAAATAGGGGTTTATTTGGTCAAGCATTTCAACGAAATAATTAAAAATTTTTACCAAACAAGAAATAATTCAGTTAAATTGTTTGACTGAATTGTTGATCCAAATGTTTACCATCCAAAATAATAATTTGGATAAAATTTCATCTTGACCAAAAATGTTTGACAATTTTAGTCAAAAAATTTGACTGAAAATGTTATTTTGAAATCTTTTATTTTAGACTAATTTAGTCAAGATATTTGACTAAAAATGTTATTAGGAAATCTTCTATTTTAGACTAATTAGATCAAAATATTTGACTGAAATATTATTTTCAAATTCAAAAAAATTTATACATTTGTGTAATTATAGTATACATATAATTACTATTGTTATATAATTACAAAATACATTTAATTAATATTTAAAAATCTATTTATTTTATTCGAATCCAAATATATCAAAATTTTAGATTGAACATTATATAACAAAAATCAAAATTCTATAACTTTTTTTTTTAGTTTCTCCATCCCTTAACACCAAAAAGAGTTAATCACAAATTACAAACTAAATGGAAAACTTAACGAAAAAGAAAAAAATTATAAATTTTACTGAAATATATTTAAAAAAAAGTACCAAATGAGATGCCTCCTTAAAATGCCTTTAATTTCTATTATAAAATCCTGCAAAAAAAAATTGATATCAATATTAATTGAAACAAACTTGTAAATTGTAAAAGAAATAAACTAATAACATTAAAATTAAAGGAAGATAGAAAATGAAAGAAATTAAAAGAGATGAAATTAAAGGAAGGAATGTATGAGGAAAAGAGAATGTGAGAAAGTGGAAGAGAGAATGAGGGGAATGAATGGAAGGAAAGGGAAAGTGAAGAAAAGAGAAGATTCGAAAAAGGAAGAAATAAAAGAAACTGATGGAAGTAAAGAGAAATGAGGGGGAGGGGGAGGGGAAGTAATCAAAAGGAAGAGAGAGATGAGAAAGATGAGTGTGGAAGGTGAAATGAAGGGAAAAGCAGAAAGAAATAAGAAGGAAATGGGTAAAATCAAAGTTGTCAATACTGTATTGGTATACGTATCGGTTTTGTTACTGAAACGGTATGCACTGAATATTGGAATTTTTTACGTACCGTTTCAGATTTATCACTATAAATATATATTTTTATAAATTAAATATCAAATTTGAAAATAATAAAAAGAAAAACTAATATTTAAAACCATCATATTCTTATAAATTGATAACAAGTTTAAAATGACCAATTTTATAAAATATTCATAATTTTTTTCTTTTAAAAAAAAATATTAAATGTGCATATTTGGAAAAACTTAACAGATTAACTGAGAAAAGGATAAAAAAAAATGCATTTTTCATAGTTAATGGACTAAAAAAATATATATAAAAAGTTAAAGAACAAAAATTATGCAAAACTTTAAAATTGAGGACTAAAAATGAGATTTATCTTTTTTAAATTTGAATTGGTTTGTACCGATAGATTTTTTGTGCCTTAGTTGAACATTTCGAAATATTGATTGATATGTCAAAATTTGACCGAAACGAAATTGAACCATGTATTGTTTCAGATTATTAAAAAAATTAGTATGTACTAACAGTACCAACTAATACGTACCGACCGCATCAACTGGTACGAAATAGTACCAACAACTTGGGGTAAAATACAATTTGAAGTACCTAAAGTATTTTTATAGAGTTTAAGCTATTTCAGTTTAAACTATTTTGATTAAGAATTTTGACTTAAATAGTTTTGATAGAAAATTCAAGATATTTTACATGATTTTAGAGTCAAAAGAATTTAATTTCAGACAATAATTTTGACCGAAATAGTTTTGATAGAAAATTCAAAATATTTCACTTGATTTGTGGAGTCAAAACATATAATTTCGGATAAAAGTTTTGACTAAAATAACTTTGGAAAAAAATTCAAGAATTTTCACTTAATTCTTGGAGGCAAAACAATATAATTTCGGTTAAGCATTTTATCTGAAATAGTTTTATAGAAAATTAAAAAAATTTAGGAAAAAAAAAAGCACTATAGTAATACAATTAAAAGAAAAAAAAAGGAGACAATTATTTAGGTCAAAATTTTTTACCAAAAAACATTACTAAATTAAAAAACATTACTTAATTAATTCGATCAAAATTTATTATTGAAATACTTACTATTTTATTACTAATATAATTCAGATAAAATATTTGACCAAATTAATGATGGCACTAATTGACACTCTTTTATTTTGATCAGTATGTTAGATTGAAATAATTTTAGACTAAATTATAAT